CCTGCCCCGCTCCCTTCCCCGAGCCCAGCCCTCCGGTGTGGGGTCCCCACACCACGCTGAGCTGGAGCCACCCAGCCCCACCCAGCGTCCCACTGCCTGCGGCCTGCAGCCAGACGCCCGGAGGGCCCGCGCCCTGCCTCCCTGTTCTGAGTCCCAGATGGAGGCCTCCACCTCCTTCCAGTGTTGGCTGGATTCGGAACACCCCCCTCCCCAGTGTAGCCCCCTCCATAACAGCCAAGCCCTCCCACCCCCAGCAGCCTCCCGGGGGCTGGGAAGCCTCAAGCCCTGACCGGTCTCCTCTGGTGCTTTAAGGTGCCCTGTCACCAGCTGGTGTCCGCAGGCCAGATGTTTGGGATCCACCCTCCCAAAGCCCAGAGCAGCAAGGAGGGAGGGATTCTTGTTAGTGTTTCTCAAATGAATTTTTTTTAGCCCCTTGAAATTCCTGGAGAGAGCCCCAGACTGCCCCTTCTGCCTGCCACGGTCTTAAAAACTCAGGAGCCCAGGGTCCCATCCTTTCCCGTCCTCTGGGGAGTCCACTCTTCCCAGCCTGTGGAGGCCCCCAGAGGTTCTGGGAGCGCAGTGGGACGGTCTTCCCTCCCTCCCTCTGCCCTCAGACCCTGCTCCTGAGCCCCTGGTACAGTGTCTCCGGTAAAATCACTTCCAGTTGGCAGACTCTTTGTCCACCTGGGCACCGTGATTAAATTTCGTGTCTTATTTCGCCTTCAGCCACCTGTCTGGGGGCTCGGTTTTTAGTCCAGAGAGGTTGAGCGGCCCACGGAAGGGGCCAGGGCTGAGGGGTCCTCCTGCCACAGCTCTGTCCTGGCCTCAGAGTCCAGTGAGGCTCGGCGGTCACGTGGCCAAGCGCTGCTCCCCACCCCTGGGCCACAGAGACCGAGAGCTGGCAGCGTGAGCGTCTAGAATCATCTATACCAGGCCCACCCGAGACCAGGAAAGCACTTCAGAGTGAGGCTGCCCGAGTGAGGCTCGGGAGGGACCCAGGCTGGGAAGCTGGGGAGGTGGAGACTGCAGGCGGACAGGGCAAGGAGCGTGGGTGGTCACTGCTCCCTGGACGGAGGGCAGCCCCGCTGACTGCGTGCAGGCCTTGCCCGCCTCTCTGCCGAGGATGTGCTCCTGGAGGTGCCAGCTGGCTGCGGCTCTGGGGGTGGTCCCAGCAGCCACACCCACCCGGCCCCAGCCCGCTGTGCCGCAGTGGCGGCTGCTTTGTATGGACGGCGCAGCATTTTGGGTAATGAAATATTCACAGGTCAGTGACTCCTTGAGAAATGATGGGGATCAGTCAATTCCTTTTCAGGGAGTAATTTTCTTCCCCTTCACAGCCCGTGTTTCATGTTGACTATCATTAGCATGAGCGGGAGGCCGGATCGAAGGCACTTGTCAGAGCTGGGGACGAGCTGCTCCCTTGTCACAGGCGGGGCTTGGGGCCCCACCTGGACACCCACGTAGGGTGGCACACAGGGTCCCCCGCAGGCTCGGAGCCAGGGGTGTGGAGGGCTGGCTGGTAGCCCTGAGTGCTGCCGGGTCTGCCAACCTGCCTCCCACCTGAGCAGGAGCAGAAGTGCCCCCCCCCCAGCCTCACCTGAGAGGGGGCCCCAGGGGCCCCAGGTGAGCGCTCCCTGATTTCAAGCCAGGGCCTACCTCTCGGGCCTCTCCTGGTGCACAGCTCAGAGAAGGTTCTCCAGGGGGTGGGGACCGGCCCTTCCACCTTGTACAGCTGCTTCAGACTTTGGGCTCACATCCTAGCTCCGAGTCCCCAGGTCACATGTCTCCGCAGGTGGGCTCACCTCCTCTCACTTGGAGCCTCGGAACAACTCGGAGGTGGGACTCTCCAAGGTGCAGGCCCGGGGACCACGTCCTGGCTCAGCCCATCCCAGACCCAGCCAGCTGCCCTAAAAGAGGAAAATAAATGGGCTGCATCCCTCTGACGTGAGCTAGTCCTGGGAGGTGTGTTGTGAATTCGCTGTAGACAGGGGCAGGGACCCCTTTGCTCCAGGTGTCCCTGCCGCCCCGCCCAGGCCCAGACTCTGTGGAACCGGGAGGAGGCTCTTGCCGAGATGTAGGGAAGGGGGCCTGCAGGGTCCGGGAGGGGCAGCGTTCCCTGGGACCCTTTTGTCGCCTGTCCTGGTACTTGCCCCTTGGTGAGGGTCCAGAGGCAGAACCCAGCACTGTGAGAACCCTGCCCTCCCCCCAGTGCCCAGACCCACTGTGAGGGACCCAGCCTGAGTCAGGAAGTGACTGCTCTTGGCCTGTTCAGGAGACCCCAGGCGACCCCACCAGCC